TGTTAGTGTGTGTTGTGCTGGTACGAGTGGATCAGACACAGTAGTGCTGCTGGAGTTTTTAAGCACAGTGTCTACTCACTGTCCACTTTATTAGACACTCCTACCTTGTCAGTCCACCTTGTAGATGTAAAGTCAGAGATGATAGTCCATGGGGGGTCCTGACCACTGAAGAACAGGGTAAAAGGGGGCTAACAAAGTATGCAGAGAGTAATTTTGTAAAATTCATTTCTTTTGGTCCATTCATCATGACATTTACCCACAATGTAAAGGACAATGGGTTTTTTCAAATTATGTCAAAAACTGAAAAATGACAAAAGTGAAGATATGAGGTTTAATTATATATAAGAGGAGATATTTTATTACTATCTGAATTGGTGAAAATCTGGTGTGCTGTGTCCTGTTTTACATTTTTGCTGGCGAAGCCAAAGTGAGACTCAAACCTGTTGATACAGAATGTAGATCGAATGTCGTTAAATATGCAGTTACGTAATTACATTAAAGTAGTGCAGGTGACCGACAGTGATAACTGTGGGCTCGTTGGCTGTTCCTGTGTGTTCCAGCAGCACAGAGGATGGAGCTGTTGGTAATTAGAGCTGTTTGAATGGCATTGTGCTGAGACCTCCAGGCTGCTGCATCTATACATAGCTCAGCTAGCGTCGCTCTCCCTGCAGCACCTCGACAGCTCCTTCCCCGAAGCTGCGCACGCACACTGACCGCGGGAAAGATATGTCTGGAGAGAAAGAAGAGAAACTAAGAACACAGGAGACCTACTGCGCAAACACACCACGGGGTGTGAGCGCCTGCAGGAGTGTGTGTGTGTGTGTGTGTGTGTGTGAGAGTGTGTGTGTGTGTGTGTGTGTGTGTGTGTGTGTGTGTGTGTGTGTGTGTGTGAGTGTGTGTGGTGTGTGTGTGTGTGTGTGTGTGTGTGTGTGTGTGTGTGTGTGTGTGTGGGAGAGAGAAACGTTTTGACTAGCTGCAGCGTCTTACATCTGTTTACTGTCTAAAATCACTGTTATGTTTCTATATTTAATAGGATAAAGGTACTTTTTACTTTCTGTCATGCTTCATAGCAACGGCCACCCAGTACAGAATCACCTGATCAGTCATATGATTGCTTCTGTTGACAGTATACATTCAGCAGATGCACACGTTTTATTTTCCATTGTATTTATTTATGGTTTAGCACCTCAAGCGAGCAGCCAAGACGGTTCTGTGCAAGATGGTTTATTTGATAAGTGCCGTTTCCAGATCATTTTTATTTGACATGTCAGAATACGCATATTGGATAAACGTGTTATGCAAAAAAAGGACATGATTTCATGATATATATATGAGTTCATGATTCATGATACAGACATGATATATATATATATATATATAATATATATATATATATATATATATATATTATATATGTATATAGCGTCGCTATCCAAAAAAAACATGTATCTCCTTTTCTGTCAGGTTTTTTTTTTTTTTCCCATTTTAACACACCTGTTGACCTTTACATTGTGGGAAAATTTCGTGATGAATGGACCAAAAGAAACGGCCCAAATTGAATTGGAAAAAAGTCTGGTTCCATTCACTTACATTCAAAGTGAAGTATGTTTTTCCTTCTCCTGTGAAGTTACCATTTTGGACATGGTTATTGTGATAAATTATGTCACAATATAGTTTTAACACTGTATGCTTTTCTTAAAACATTGTGTATATTATCAGAACCTGTAGAGTATTGACCAACTGCACGTTTCATTATAAAGAGAACAAAATTCGTCCCAATGAACTGGATTTCGTGCAACACAGTATGAGCTGAATACTGAATAAAAATCACCGTTTTTGGTTGTGTTTTTAAATTAAGCACTTGTTCTTTTTTCTCAGTTCCAACTGACCAGATGCTTGAAAAAATAAATAGTCAATTTTGTGAATCGTGAAAATTTCCAGAAGTATCACAATATTATATTTTTCCCATATCGCCCAAATCTAGATGTAAAGCTTTTTGTCTGGACAGTACGGCTTTATTTGTTTGATGAAACACTAACATTGTAATAAGTCGCAAATAAACAAACAACACAATGGCACTTAATCTTTAGAGCTGCATTTAAAAGAAGCTCAAATTTGAGTGGCCTTAATAATGTACAGACGACTCTGCGTTTTCATGAAACTTTCATACGACGTGCATAGTTGATGGTCATTAGTCTGTGATTTACCGTTAAATGCTATGACCGGGGCTGACTTTGGCTCAGTGTGCTTCAGTGTTCTTTTCACACAGTGTGTAACTTAAGTGCGTCAGACTTCCTCTCAGAGAACATGGATGAAATAGTCATATCGCTTGTGGATGTTTGCTTTTGCTATGCTACACTGTTGCAGTTGTGCGGTCGTTCTCCGGAAAAGTGGTCAGAAATATCTGTTTTTAAATGCTTCATTTTTGATAGGTCTGTCTAGCAGAACCAGTTGTCTGTTGCATGCGACGGCGTTTTAGGGCTACTGTTGAAAATATTCAAAATAGTAGACTTTGAGAATAAAGTAATATTATGACATAAAAAGTCGTATGGTATGACTTTTTGAGAATATTTTGACAAAGTCATAATATTTCAAGATAAAAGTTGTACGGTAAAATATTTTTTTTTACAATGAAGTCTTAATATTTCAAGAATAAAATCATATTTTGATAATAAAGTCATAGAATTATGAAATGAAAGTGGGATATTACCAGGAAAAGCCGTAATATCGTAGCCAAAGGCTTTGCAAACGGAAGGCAGCACCTTGTCGTGTTAAATGAGGGGTGTTGAGTTGGTGGAGTTGTACTTTCATATCGATTCACCCATAAAGAAACACTCAGTCTCCCTGTCTCTCCTGCACATCAGCACCAGCCTGTTATAGTATAAGAAACGGCTGAAACGGCTGAGCAGGAAACTGTATTTATTTAGATGAAAGAACCAAACGGACTCGGAGGAAACTGTCTGTTTTGTTGAAGGAGACCAGGCAGTGTCGTCTACATGGATATCGGTGGTTACATCTCTGTGCCATTCGAAGAGGGCATGAAGTTTCACAGGAGGCAAAAACGATGATAATCAAAATGATCAATTCCAAAGGAGTGGAACTCCGGCGCGCTCAGTATCTTTACCATCGCCAGTACAGCAACCGAGGCCCCAGCGCATTATGGCGGCCCCCCTACAATCAGCCTACTTTATCCTCGAGTTTAACAGAATTAGTTGAAGAACGATTTGGTTAATTGTCAGTTAATTGATTAACCGTTTACATCCCTTGTTGTGATGTTTGCCACAGTGCTCATCACTCAGCTGGGCTGATTATATTCGACCCCTATTGATTATGTGTGACCTTTTTAACCCTGTGGTGTTTCAGTGGGTGGGTGTGTTTTGTTAGATGGATGAATGGATTGATCCAAGGAAAGCTGGCTTTATTTCCTTTATTGATTACCTTTCAAATCCATAGATATACATCTTGCAGGCCAAGGTAGCTGAAGACAACGTCCTATGCTAAATCCCAGCTAATATATCGGTTGATCGATGTTTTTTCAGCCAATATTGACGACCCCTGGTTGTTTGGAGATCGGCAAAAATATTGCCAATAATTACTGAATTACCGACTCGTGATCTCCCTATGATAGGCTGAACCGCAGACAGTTGTGCCACTGGGGAGCCCAATAATAATAATCAGCACCTCTTTAACTATAGTGACTTCAAGCAACGATGGCAGCAGTGATGGCTACGGCAGCTGAAACATATCAGAATATTGGAGTATTATGTACAGTATATAACAAAGGCTCTGTTTCATTTGGTAACACGTTTTTCATGAATACCATGTCTATAAGAATATAAGAATACAGTAATAACACATCATAATGCATTTATAAGGCACTGGCTGTAAATATTTAGAAAAATGCATTACAGTTTATAGCCCTGTTTATTATGCATTATGAATAAACATTATGCTTTATAAGTGGTGTTTATAGCATATACTATTGTCAGTGCCAAAGAAACTCTTGCATATGGATGTTACCATTGACAGACATATGTTATTATAACCCCATTGATGGGGCCCATTTCTTTCTGTGTGGATGAGTGCTGCTATGTGGTTGCTAGGGAATCAAGCAGTTGCTGTGGTATCTCTGATGGTTCCTACAGGGTTACTGGGTAATTGCTGTGGTATTCCAGTTGGCTGCTAGGGTGTTGCTAACCAGTTGCTGGTGCTGTTTCTGGTGATTGCTAGGGTGTTGCTGGGTGATTGCGGTGGTATTCCAGGTGGTTGCTAGGTTGTTGCTAACCAGTTACTGGTGCTATTTCTGGTGATTGCTAGGGTGTTGCTAAGTGGTTGCTATATTATACCAGTAGGTTGTTTGGGTGTTGCTGGGTGATTGCTGTGGAAATCCAGGTGAAGAAGAAGAATACAAATCGGACAGCAGTAGTGAGGTGTGCAGTCAGAAATAGCTTACAGAGTGTAGATTGAGATGCTATAAACTAGACACCAGAAGGTATTTTAAGATGTTTTTGACGCCTTTCACACCAAGAATTAAATGATAATTTACCGTCATTTGATCACCACTTTTAAATAAGAGGTTTTAGATGTTCATTTTGTTATTTGCTCATTTTTATTTATGGCTTCCTACTAATTTGTGGAAATCTAGGAAGCTGTAGAATAGCAGCATCATAATAGAATCACTTTACACAGGTATCTGCAACAAAATTGGTTTTAGATGATTCCAAACAGTGAAAATGTGCAAAGAATCTGTGCTCAGATGTTACTGTTGAAGTGTTTGTGGCCTCTTGCTAAAAGGAAGGTTTCTTGTGGCCTTCTCTTGCTAAAAAAGCTTTTCCAGAAGACCTGGTGCTGACATGTATGTCTGAAACAGCTCTTTTGAAGCATCACTCTGTATTTCTTTCTTTTCTTTGCTTCTATTTTTCACGTGAAAATATTGCTTTTGCCCTTGGCTTGAGTTTTTATGTCTTTTGAAGCTGACCCTATGGTTTGTATCTCTGCAGGATGGCCATTCAGGTGGACAAGTTTGACTTTGAGAGCCTGCCGATGCCGTCCCACAATGCGTTGCGTCAGAGCAGTTTGTATCAGCAGGAGGAAGAGAGGCAGCAGGCTCAGGGTGGACAGATCAACAGCACACTGGACCTGCGCTGGAATATCATATCCTTCAGCTGTCCACTCCTCTACAGCATTTAAATCTGTTCAAACTCTCCTCATCCCTTTACTCAACCCCATTTAATTCTGTTTAAACTCCAATCATCTGTATTTAACTATGTTAAAGTTTTCTGTAGCAGTTTAATTCTATATAGAGTTCAGTAGAGTTAAACAAAGTTGATCAGAGTTCTTAGTGAAAATCTAAGGGTTTTTTGGTTATAAACACAACAACATCATTAAAAAAAACACTTTATTGACAGAAGAGTAGATAAAACAGCAGAAATAACCACTTTTTTGCATCGACCTTAAAGGGGATTCCACTGATTTTTCAAAAGTGTCTGAATAATTCAGTAGTTGAGATGTAAACAGAGTCATTCAGAGTGGTTTGGTGTGAAATGGTTCATTGTAGAGGCTCAGATTTCTTTACAGTGGTGCTGATAGGAACCAGACGTCACAACATCTGCAACACAAATATAGACATTTTATTTACTGTCCAAAACCACCAGTCAACCTACACGAGTCTTCTGAGTTGTATGTGAAATGTGGTGATGGTGAAATGGTAATAAATCAGGGAATTTTTCTTTGAGCACTATTTTGCCTTACGACACCCCGCATGTGTCCCTCCACCATGAATGTATTAAAGAAAAAAGGCCTAAAAACCTTTAATAAAACGTCATGTCCCAGGGAAGAAATGGTATTTGTAACCATTTAAACTGTTTCTAACCATTTAATTATGTAGAATTATTGGAAAATCGGTGGCATTTCGCTTTAAATACAAAGGATGTAATATTACAAAGCTCAGATTTTTTTTTTTCTTACAAGAAAACACTGAATAGTAATATAACTTGCACATCAGTTGTACTTCATCACTCCTCTGATGAAGCAAGTGCTTGTTGATCTGAGCTGAGCTCTGAATGAGGTTGCATGCTCACTTGGAACAGTCACAACAGTGAAGATAGCTTTGTTCATCTTTTTCACAGTGATAGACACAGCAGCTCACAGGACACACAGATTCTACACGCTGTTATGTTGCACTCTGGTCAATGCGCACTCCTCTCTCAGCAGAGGTAAACGAGGTGGGACCGTCTCAGAATGCCTGGCTGTGAGACGCTGGGTTCCACAGGGTTAGGAGGTTACAGTTGGCTGGAGAAGCAGTGCATCCTGCTATGAGAGACGGTCCCTGGCATAGCGGACAGAGAGTGTTTGGAAGGGTCGGAGTGTGTGGTACGTTTTCTAAGGGTGAAGGTCAGGCAACATCTGTTTTTAACATCTGGAGCTGCTGTAGTGAGCTGTCACATACAGACGGGTGGAGGTGCTGAGCGCTGACAGAGAGGCTGTATCAGACATCAGGGAGACTGACCCTCTTCTCCTGCGGAGTGACCGCTGACCCCTACTCCTCTTAGCTCAACGCTTGCTTTATTCTGACAGTGTGGAATTTTTATGCTCTCTGTCTTTCCCTCTCTCACTCGCTCTCTCTCTTTCTATATTTTTTCCTATGCAGTTATGTACTCTCTCTCTCCCTCTCTCTCACTCTCTCACTCTTAGTCACATCCAAAAGTGTGAACACTCCTGGTCAAATTCCATGTTTTGTTGATGCAGAGAACAAACTTAAAAATGGCATTTTCTGCATGTTAGTGCACAGTTTCTGTTTATTTCCTGAGCTTCACATATTGGAAAAAAAGAAAAATGTGCCATAACTTTTGCACAGGCCACTTTTCATTTCTTATTTTTCCCCTTAATATGTTAAATTCAGCAAATAGACAGGGTAACACTTTTTTGGATAGTCCACTTTAGATGCTTTGTAGATACTTAATTTACCTTGATGTTACATTCAACTAAATGTCTACTAAATTGATAATCATTGTCTTTAACTCTAAACCTCTAATCCTAACCCTAATCCTAACCTTAACCTCAACTCTCACCCTGGTCCAAATCCTAACCCTAACTCCACCACTGTTTAGGATCAACTGAGTTTCAACAATTTGAACATATGTAGATAATCTATAGGGGGCTACGGTGGACTATCTAAATAAAGTGAGACCATAAACAGTAATTGTGCATTAAAATGTGCAGAAGTGTAGCACATTCTCTGTAGAGGATGTGTTACTTATTGTCACAAACAAAAGATGTAAACTACAAGACTATTTTTTTCTACATCTTAATGAGCATTAACTGAGCATTACATTTGTTTTTTTTTGCTCTGACCTTCTGGTTGGATTGAGTGAGAGAGGATTTTCTAATGTGGCTCAACCATTTGGCAAACTGGGCTCTACAGACAAACAGAGGTGGACTCTACAGCTGAATAGGGGTGGACTCTACTACTGAATAGGGGTGGACTCTACTACTGAATAGGGGTGGTTTTTATAAGAGAAAAGAGGTGGACTCTACAACTGAAGAGGTCAACTCTACAACAGAATAGAGATGAACTCTACAACCGAATAGAGGTGGACTCTACAACTGAAGAGGTCAACTCTACCACCAAATAGAGGTCGACTCTTCAACCGACTAGAGGTGGACTCCACGACCGAATGGGGGTGTGGACTCTACATCCGAATAGAGGTGGACTCTACAACTGAATCTAATAGACTCTACAACAGAGTAGACATGGAACAGTGGTGCACTACAACAAATCAATGAAAAAAAAAGTTTGTTTTGTTTTGTTTATTAATGTTTATGGTTACCACTTTTAGGACTATCATGGATTAAACAAAATTATAGGAACCATTTCTACATCAGTAACCATAATATGGCATAAAATCTATCTGTATTTGATTCATATGTATATTGTGTCTCAACATTAAGATAAAAAATGAACATTAACGTGTATCGCGACAATCCTAATATATATATATATATATATATATATATAGATGGAGTAAGAGGAGGAAATGATACAGAGAGAGAGAGAGTGATGTGTCCTGTGTGACCTTTCCCACTGGGAGTGTATGTCCAAGTTTATGCCCTGAGCAGAGATGGCCTTCTGACACACACACACTCTGTAATGTCCTAATCAGGGAGTTTTGAGCTGCTGGTTAGCTGTTGAGAGAGAGAAAGATGGAGATAATTCAGAATGAAATACACACTCAAACCTGGAACATACTGGATGGTTTTAATATAGTGTGTCTGACTAGGCTACAGTCAGTATAGTCATCATTTCCTAACCCCATTTTTCTATGCAGGCTACAAAAATGAATAAATCAGAATATTTCATCTTTGTGTAGGTCAGCTGTCCTTTACATTGCATGATGTATGGACCAACAGAAATGTCGAAAATTATTTGAAAAAAATCTCATTACATTACAGCAGTGGATGTTTTTTCCTTGTCTGTAAATTTTCCACTTGAAGCTTTTTTTTCAGACAGCAGTGGATTAGATACACGAGCAAACAAATTCGGATCGGTATTTGGGTCATTATCCATTTGGAGAGGGAATTCAGGTGGATACATTAAAAAAAAATCAATTTCTTTCATCCCAAAACTAAATAATATTAATATGTATAATATGTTTTACAGTCACCGGTGTTGTATGAATGTGGTGTAACACCAGTGACGGTGACTCCAGTGAGGTTTTTGGTCAGGTGACCTTGTGCAACTATTTAAATTAGTAATAAAAATTATGTTTGACATTATTTTGACACAATTTTAATTACCCAGCCATTAAAACCCATAATACCGGTGACACATAGAAGTTATGTGCTGCCTAATTATTACAAAATTATTAATAAATTAATGAAATATAGTGAGCAGGTGTGACTCGCCTTCTCATGCGTGAGCTGCTTCCTCTCTGATGAGCCTCGACTCTAAGAAGCAGTTTAATAGAGCTGAAAATACTGTGTTAAAATGTAACATGAGTCCTGAAAACACCGGTGACCAAAATCTCTGACAAATAAATGTTAAAATAAGACATATATTTTTAAAATGTAGCATAACGTTAATGATATAAAAAGTAAACATGAATCTGTTTTATATAAATTCCCAAGTTAAACCTCTTGAAAATATTGTTTTATATTAAAAATGGCTCCTCAAATGTTGAAAGGTTTTGTGACGAGCTGTTTTACAGATGCAGAGCGACAATGAAACAGGATAAAAAAAGAAAAATCCGAGAATCATAAGGGAAAAGTGTAATGAGGTTTAATCTCTTCCGTCATTTCAGATGTTATTGATGTGTCTGTTTCAGAAACTCATATCACAAAGACGATAAAGATATGATAAATCATACAGCCCTTCTGATCAATGCGATTCTTTTTTGACCACAACGTTGAACAGAAAATATCAGCTTGATAAAATTGAAATCTATTTTATTTGCGTTATAACTGTAGTGCATTTCTGATGAACCTGTGAATAAAAAGTAGTTCCAGCAGTTGAGGGTGCAGAGTTCACTCATCATTTACTATAGTGGTCTTAGTTGCAACAGCGTATTAAAATTAACCTCATGATGTTTTTGCTTTACTTTATTCTGGCAAATTCCCACTGTGAGCTGTTTAAATCAGTGCTATATTACAGGCACCAAGAGGGTGATTAATATGCATTCTTTGGCATACAACTATTTACATACAAGTAATCAAGATACTGTAGCATCTTAACTATTAGAGAGGGAGTGTTCAAAGCCATGCTCGCTCTACCATCTCACCATGATCTTTGCTGTGTATTGCTTTTGAGACACTTTCCCTCTCTATGCTCTGCTTCCATAAACCAATATGAGCCTTGTGGGTTAGTTGATGTGTAATTTTTTTCTGGAACGCTACTGATTGTAATTTTAATAGGAAGAGCATTTAATATGTGCTGAGATGTTAATGGCCTTTAACAGTAGAGTGACGCTGTAGCTCCGTTTTAGCCTGTACTAGACGAGCCGAGGCGTAATAAGAACTGTAATTGCTCCTGGTTCCGCCCGAAAACAACCTCATTATCATGGGCTTTGCTTGGGTCATTTGCCACTATAGGCATTTGCCCCCTCAACACCCCCCCCCTCCCCACCAACAAAGCCTGTGTACCTAATGTAATCATCCCTGTACAAGATCACATGTATATGACCGAATCACTGATTGATCAGTGAAATGATTTAGATTGACTTGAATTGAAATTCAGACTGAATTCACTTGAATTCATCTACACTGTATTTGATCACTGAATTCATTCATTTGAGCTGAATTCAAATTTAGCCTGAATTGAAGTCAGATTTTGATTGACTTGGTTTCAGATTTAGGTTGACTTGAATTCACATTGATTGATTTGGATCAGGTTTATATTGACTTGCATTCAAGAAGATTGCATTTGATTGTTGAATTAATATAGACTGACTCATATTTATACTGAATCGTATTCATGTAGACGGCATTTGATCTTTGGATTAATTTGGACTGAATTCAGATTTGTATTAATCTAAATACAGATTTATATTGACCTCAGTTCAGGTTTACATTGACGAATTTGGCTGGCTTAAATTGGATTCAGATTCATTAGACTCAATTAGCTGAATTGAATCTAGTTGAATTGAACTGCACTGAATTTGAACTGAATTAAGCAGAAGTAATGTGGGCTACTTTGGGCCTCATAAACACGAGTCCAAGACCACTGTGATGAATTGCATCACTATAAGCTTGTGGTCAGAAGTTAATGAACACTGCATGTTGAACTAACTGCATGTTTTATTAGTAAGAGGTTCAAAAGTGTAGCTGTTTTAGACTTTGCCTTGCTGTGAGTTTGAATCCCAGTGAATCAGTGAGTGTGTAACTGGTCCTGATATAACTGGATGTAGTGATTGTGCAGTGAAGTGATTTGAGAACCGTTGCTAAGGTTTTGCCAGGCGACCCGCTATGGTATTTTATGTGGTTGCTAGGGTGTTGATAGATAGTTGCTGTGGAATTTCAGATGGTTGCTGAGGTGTTGCTAGGAGGTTGCTATGGTATTCTAGGTGGTTGGTAAGCTGTTGCTAAGTGGTTGCTATAGTATCACAGGTGGTTGCTAAGGTGTTGCAAGGTGGTTGCTATGGTATCCCAGATGGGTAATATGGTTTTGCTAGGCGCTTGGTATGGTATCCCAGGTGGTTGCTAAGGTGTTGCTAGGTGGTTGCTATGGTATCACATATGGTTGATAGGGTGTTGCTAGGCAGTTGCTAAGGTATTCCAGTTGGTTGCTAGGTGGTTGCTATGATATTCCAAGTGGTTGCAAGGCAGTTGCTATGGTACCTTGGGTGGTTGCTGTGGTATCCCAGGCAGCTGCTAAGGTGTTGCCAAGGTGTTGCTACACAGTTGCTATGGTATCCCATGCGTTTCCTAAATTGTTGCTAGGCAGTTACCATGGTGTATGGGATGTTTATTTAGTTGTTCGTAGGGAGTTGCCAAGTGTTAGCTGCGCGTTGTTGAAAATGAATGGGATTATATGAGCGGAACGAGGGATGAAAAAACAACACATAGAGGAGTGCGGGTCAGTCTGGCTGTGCAGTAGAGTTTGGGGTCCTACCCTTAGTGAGTACATGTAGTTTGGTGGCTGTACTGCAGCGAAGTAATAGAGTTTGTGTGGTGGCAAAAATGAATGGGACTCTATGGATGAAACTAATGAAAAATATAGAAAATGTTGATTTGATATTGTGTAAGTATATAAAGGTCTTTAACTACTGTGCTGTGTTTTTTGCCATATCACCCATTCTTAGCTGCGATTAGTCTTGGTTACTCCAGGTCCGTCTGATCTCCGTCTGGAGCTCCTCTAACATGAGTAAGCTCTTTCCGAGAGCTTCTAGGTTGTGTGTTCTTTTGGGCCTGAGCTCCAGTTTGAGTGGATTAAGATGTTTACAACAGACTGCTTTGGTTTGTGTTTGTGTTTTCTTTTCTGCCCACATGTCCCTTTTCTCCTCTCTCTCTAATCTCTTTCTCTGTATCTGTCATACTCTTACACTCTCTTGAACTCTCGTTCTCTGCTTTTCCTCCAGGTTTCAGTGTTTATTTCATTCAATTCAGTTCCTCCTCTCTCTGCTGAGCTGAGTTCTTCTATGTGAGGGGGCCTAAGTCTCTGTGAACAGTGTGTGTAACAGTGTGATCCTTAACCGTCTGTGTACCCATCTCTGAAGCGTCAGGGTGAGGCCAGTGTGGAGGGAGTGCTCACGCAGCTCGTACTGGAGCACATGCAGCTGGCACCACTGCAGTGGGGTGAGTGTATTGATCTAAACTACACTGCACTACGTTACACTGCTGTACTGCACACAACTACCACACTATCAGGTACGCTACTGCACAATAAACTTGACTGCTACATTGTAAAGTACACCGCTAACTATAAACTACACTAGTCTAACGTTCAACCCTGTTTCCAAAAAAGTTGGTACGCTGTGCAAAATGTAAATAAAAACAGAATGCATTGATGTGCAAATCATTTAAACCCTATGTTTAATTGAAAGTAGTGCAAAGACGTCATATCACATGTTGAAACTGAGAAATCTTATCGTTTTTTTTAAAAATATATGCCCAGTTTGAATTTGATGCCAACAACATGTTTCAGAAAAGTTGGGACAGAGGCAGCAAAAGTGTGATAAAGTTCTGTAATGCTGAAAAACAAAACACCTGGAGGTTAATGGGCAACAGGACAGTAACATTATGGGGTATAAAAAGAGAACCTAGAGAGGCTTTCAGAAGTAAAGATGAGGAGGGGTTCACCACTCTGTGAAAGCCTGCATAAGCAAATAGAGCAACAGTTCAAGAATATCGTTTCTCAAGTAAAGTAGCAAAGTACTGATCATCTACAGTACATAATATCATTAAAAGATCAGAGAAATCTCTGTATGCAAGGGACAAGGCCGAAAACCAGTGTTGGCTAGCTGTGATCTTCGGGTTCTCAGGCGGCCCTGCGTTAAAAACAGACATGGTTCTGTGGTGGAAATCGCTGCATGGACTCAGAAACACTTCTGAAAACCACTGTCTGTGAAAACAGTTTATCGCTGTAGCCACAAATGTAAGTTAAAACTCAAAGAAAAAACATATATAAACAGGATCCAGAAATATTGCCGCATTCTGTGGGCCTGAGCTCATTTATAGTTGACTGAGGGGAAGTGGAGAAGTGTCCTGTTGTCCTACGAATCAAAATTCGAATTTCTTCTTGGAAATCATGGACACTGTGTCCTCCAGACTAAAGACCACCCAGCTTATTGTTAGATCACAGTTCAAAAGCCAGTATTCATGATGGTCTAGGGTGCATTAGTGTACATGGCATGGGTGACGTTCACATCTGAGAAGGTACCATTAATGCTGAATGATATTTACAGGTTTTGGCAACATGTGCTGCCATCCAGACAACGTCTTTTTCAGGGAAGGTCTTGCTTATTTTAGTAAGACAGTGTCAAACCACATTCTGCCTGTATTACAACAGCATTGCTCCATAGTAAAAGAGTCAAGGTGCTAAACTGACCTGCCTGCAGTCCAGACCTGTCACTCACTGATAACATTTGGCGCATTATGAAACGAAAATGCAATAAAGGAGACCCCGAACTGTTGAGCTGCTGAAATCCTGTATCAAGCAAGAACAGGAAAATATTTCACTTTCAAAACTACAGCAGTGTCTCCTCACTTCCCAAACGCTTATAGAATGTTGTGAAATAAAGAGGTGATGCAGCGCAGTGGTAAACAGGCCCCCGTCCCAACTATTTTGGAACATGGTACTGGGATCAAATTCAAAATGCGCGCATATTTTTAAAAAAAAACAATAAAATTGCTCAATTTCAGTATTTGATATGTTTCTTTGTACTATTTTCAATTAGAATTGCATTCTATTTTAATTTACATTTTGCACAGCATCCCAACTTTTTTGAAATGGGGTTGTAATACAGTGCTGCACTATAAACTACAGTGCTGCACTATGAAGTATACTGCTGCACAGAGTCACTGAGAACACTGCTCATCAAACTACACTGGTCTACTACTCTACTTCCTACTACAGTACTACGATCTACAATGCTGCACAATAAACACACTACACTGCTGCACTGTAAACTACACTACTGCACTGTAAACTACACTGCTGCACAGAGTCTGCTCATCAAACTACACTGGTCTACTACTCTACTACCTACTACAGTACTACGATCTACAATGCTGCACCATAAACACACTACACTGCTGCACTGTAAACTACACTACTGCAATATAGACTACACTGCTGCTCAGAGTCTGCTCATCAAACTACACTGGTCTACTGCTCTACTACCTGCTACAGTACTGTGATCTACACTGCTGCTCAGAGTCTGCTCATCAAACTACACTGGTCTACTGCTCTACTACCTGCTACAGTACTGTGATCTACACTGCTACTCCATAAACACACCATGAACACACTGCTGCACTGTAAACTACACTACTGTGCTGTAAATTACGAGTCTGCACTACTAAAAGCTGCAAATCTGTGCTCTAGACTGCAGTACTATGAAGAACAAACACTGCCTTAAACTGTAGCTACACTACTGTAGATTAGTTTTTTCTTCAGATTATGCTCATTTACTGTGAATTGCATTGTTATAAGGTACTTTCTATCGTTACAAACTACACTACCCAGCTGTAAACTTCACTCAACACTACTCTGCTGTAAACTACACAGCACTGTTATTCATAATCCTCTTTTACATGAACTGCACAGTGCTGTGCTCAGTTCTCTGCATTCATCTCAACTAATGTTTTATGCATATGTTAATGGGCAGTGAGCATAAAAACAAGTAAACAAACCACATTTGACCTGTCGAACTGGAACCGGTTGGATAAAGTGGAGGATTCGAGGCTAAACGTTGTTGTAATGCATCTCCTGTCACTATAACGACAGTACAGAGCTGACCCCTGACTGTTAGTGTGGGACAACAGCCCCCCAGTGTGTCCCTTTAGCAGCCAACACAGCTGCCTGATGACATCATGCTGACGTGACATCATCATTATGCTCGTCTCTGAGTCTCTGAAGGTGGCAATTAATCTGATCAAAGTGACTCTCCCTCTCTCTCTCTCTCCCTCTCTCTCTCCCCCCCTCTCCCCCTCTCTCTCTCTCAAATCAAATCTAATGTGCTGTATTGTTATGACAGGATATGTGACCTATGTTGCCAAAACAAAGCTATGAAGTTTGAAGTATAGATATGAAAATGCATATGAACATAAAATTAATATGGACATGTAACAAATACTACTACTACCACTAATAATAAATAATAATAATAATAATAATAATAATGATAATACACAAAGTAAATATCGCTGCTGTTGGAAGAAAAACTTGTATCTCCATTTTCGTCTTTTTCAGTTTTTGACACATTTTGAAAATGTCTGTTGCTCTTTGTATTGTGTGTAAATTCCATGATGATTGGACCAAAAGAAACGACCCAAAATGACTTGGAAAAAATTCTGGTTCCATTGACTTACACTCAAAGTAAAGTATGTTTTTCCCTTCTCCTGTAAAGTTCCCATTTTGGAGATACGAGGTTTTCTTCCGTCAACAGCGATATGAAAAATTAAGTAGGACATCTGAACATCCGGAATCAGAAATACTGAATACATAACTGGATATGCTGTGTTACATGTTTTATCTAATGACAGTTATGAATAAATTTTCCAGCTAAATCTATTGTTTCAACAGTAATATCTTCATTTTTTCAGTATCGGTCAGTGTGAGGAAGGTGGGGATTTTTGCAGTATTGGTCAGTTTGGGGGTCTCTGATGGTTTTATATTTTAAACATGAAAGAAGGCATGAAAGTGGGCTCAGATCCTGTCCTCTCTGTCCATCCTGCTTTTTCTGTGTTTTTCTATTTCGAAGGCTAGTTTGTGGTCAGTCATTGTGTATTTTGTGAGGGTTTGCCTTTGTTTGTTGTCTTCAATTCTAATCAGATAATCGGTAATGTGTATTTCGGATCAGGTGGTTCATAACCTGTCGGTGTATTTTGGTGTGTAATTTGGTTTTTCCGTCAGAGGCTGTAATCTGCTTTGTTATTGTCTCCAGTCTCTCTCAGCGCGGAGGGCCGAGCTGTTGGGTTCCCCTCTAAGTTCTTCTTCTTGGTGGGTGGTTTGAGTTTTGAGGCTTTGTAGTGAAGAGAGGCTGGATCTGACCGGTTGAGGGAGGTATCTTTTGTCGATGTCCAGAATGAGCAGAAGTCTGTCCAGCTCGGCACTGCAAGCCAGATTAGAAAGACCTCAGTTTACCTTAGATTAAATAATTTTGTGGGCGTTTGTCCCAAATTTCATAATTATTTATTATCTTACACCCCTCTCTCTCTCTTTGTCTCTCTCTCTCTCTCTCTCTCTGTCTCTCTCTCTGTCTCTCTGTCTCTCTCTCTGTCTCTCTCTCTCTCTCTCTCTCTGTCTCTCTCTCTCTCTCTCTGTGTCTCTGCCCCTCTCCTCTCTCTCTCTCTCTCTTCCTTTGATCTAAGGATCAAAGCCCAGGCCCGTTTCTAAATTTACCCATAACCACCCTCTCACCTGAACACCATGTCCTGGACAGTTTTTGGCATCGTCGTGGCTCTGTTGTGACCTTTCTGCTCGCCTGGTGTCGCTCTGGTTTATCAAATCCTGACCTATTGTACAGTGTGCTGACCAATCACAGGCCTCTTATTTGGCCATAGGCTCTTTCAGACGTCACGTAGGGCTTTTTGAGTTTATTAACTTTTTTCTATGCTGCATTTTCTGTCCTGATAGGCATCACTGTTCTTTTCAAAGATTCATTCAGCAACGACTCATTCAGTGAATTGATCTGTTTTCTCTGATTTGCTCACTGATTTGTTCAGGGTGAACCGCAGTATCATCAGTAAACCACTACAGGACTAACTAAAGCCACAGTTTGAAATGTAGGCTGTGTCCAAAGTACCATACTGCCATACTGCAGCTAAGCCAACCCTGTTACCATAATCATTACCGCAGACAAAGTTAACTTATTATTTGTCAGCTTTTTATTCCAGTTTTCCATTTCACCTTAAATGGTCCATGGGCGACATTTGAGACTTATTTCAGGGGGCAAGCCATATTTAGCAAAGTATAAACAATGTCCTACCTATGCATGGCATCACATGCGTTGACTGACTAAGTTTACTTAAATGGCCCGTTCAGTATTTAGCACTGCAGTGTCAGACAGTCTCCAGACTCTGAGTGTTTCTCATGTATGTTTTCAATCGACACAAGCAAGAAAAGTTCCTTTTGCATGATGCACTGCTCACTGACGCGGTCAGGAACTATTTGAAGAGGTTACCAGCGTTTACCAGGTCATCGCCTAGTGCGATTAGGCTTTCCTCATCATTTTCCTGAAACCGATCACAGATTTCTTGAACGGTTTTGTCCAGTACACCAAAATACAATTCCTTGTTGTAACCCATAGCAGAGTCAGCGTCTGATCCAGTGACTGTCACTTGTCAACTGTCGCTGGACCTCCTCCATGGACGCTGTGGGCCTCGGAAGTTATTTTGAGCACACAAGTCAACCGTGTGCTTCCAGAGTTTTGGAAAGTCCGTATCTGCTCCCAATGCTAGGAGAGTAGAGACTGTGCTACTAACGAGGCTTATGACTACAACGTAATTCAGACTTGGTGACTGCAGTGCTTTCGGTAGTACATTGTATTGCATGAAAACTAGTCGCAACAGAATACAGGCTGCCCCCTAGTGTCGCGGAGATCAGTTGCTATACTTAGTAGATAGGTTTGATTAATGTCAATATTCCATAAGTAAAATGAGCTGACGGAAAGTTTTGCGGGGGTAGAGATTTTAGCCTTGCACTACAGCCCCCCCCCCACCAAATTTCACCTCTGGTTGCAAGTTATATTCTGCACACTATACATTCTTCAGCCTTGTATAGCATGGCTGACCA